ATATATATATATATATATATATATATATATATATATATTGTATTGTTAATGTAAATAAATTGTCTATGTATGCATCGTTAAAATTAAACTATAATATTTGTATTTCGAAGTGTTGCGAGAAAAAAAAGCAATAAATTGCAATTTTTATATTAGAAAATCTTGTATATTTAAATAATATCATTTCTATTAATACATTTTTTTTTCATTCAAATGTAGAAATTTGAGATGAATAAAAAACAGTTTTTTTTTTATGTATTATATATTTGCGTGACTTAAAATAATATTGAATTTTGATTGAAAAAATGTACATATAAAAGTACTATGAATATATTTATATTATCATTTTCATTATTGTATTATCATTAGTGTTCTATTTGTGAATATTTTATTAAAATATATTTTCATTAAATATCATGTCGTTAAAATAAGTGAATTCTGAATTATTTTGTCAAGATGTACTATATGACTTATCGAAAATTTATTATTCCTTTTTTTAATGATTTATAATTCGATTTTTCTTTTTGTTACATTATCATACATATTTTTTAATTTTTTATATTAATTTATTATATTTTATCATAAATTGAATTTATATAATAAAATATATGACTAATAATTGAAAACAATAATATGGGTATCATAATTAAAAAATTTACAATCATTTTATAAAACATTATGATATGTATAAATCATTATGACATATATAAATTTTTCTTTATTTTTGGAATTTCCAAATTAATTTTTTTTTTTCATATTTAAAAAGATAAATGTTTTAAAATTTAATACTATTTAGATATTTATAGTTAAGGATAGATAATATGACACATTATACATATTGTTAAATATTTCAAAACATATTTTTTGCGTTTTTTTTTCATATATTCTATATTTATAAATTTTAATTAATTTTAATTAATTTATAATTTTATTTTCCTATTTAAAAACATTTTTTAATTCATATTTAATAACATTTTTTTAATCAGATTTTTGCTCATGATGCTCATGAATATATATATATCGTGCATCGATTTTAATATTTCTGTGATATTTATCAATAAATATTATAAAATTATCTACAAATAAAATGATAAAAATTACGAAGTATCATTTTTTAATATATAATAACTCTATAATCATTTTTTTATTATAACTCTTTCTTTTCCTTTGTTTTTTTTTTATGTATTTTGGTACGTGCAAACCGATAGATATTTAAAAAAAATAATAATTAATCTTTATTTTTATCAACATTTTTTATAAACAATTGCATTAATCTAAATCAAAAAATAATCATCAACATATTTCATAAACATAAATATTACTATTTTTTTTATGAAAATTTAAAATGAAATTGTTTTTTTTATTTTTTATTAAATGAAAAAGAGGACGTAAGAGATACGAAGACAAAGAGATATAAAGAGCATAGATTCGACACGAGTTCGCGATCCCGTTATACTGGGAATACTGTAGAGAAACATTTTCAGATGATCAAGGTACTCCTGGATCACTAGGACTCTCAATGTTGCTATGCCACCTTTTACAGTCGAGTGATCATGATATTTTAAATCGAAGAATCATTATATGCCTAATGTACATATATACAATATATTTTAAGTGTTTCGTATATATATATATATTATTTCGTATATATTTTAAGAAAAGATTTGTTGATAGATTTGTTTCTATCGTTAAAAAAAACTTTTTAATCAATAATGATATAATATTTTAATGAATTAAAATATTAACGTAACATTTTGATTTTTAATTTTAAATGTTTAATATCTATCAAAAAATATTTAATAAAATTATGCGTTTATTATAAGTGTTTACTTACAAAAGTAATAAGCGTTAATAAGTAGGTCAAACAAAATATTAGATTAGTGTAGACGACAATCCGTCAATGGAATTTTTTTTTAAATCATTTGGTTAATAAAATTTGACTTAGTAACAAATTTTAAAATAATAAATAATTTCTTTCTTCTTTTTTTTTTTCTAATAATTGATTATATTACATATTTAATCATTACATTTTATACACAATTTTGAATTTATAAGATATATATATAAGATATATATCTTATAATTGATAAGAGATATCTTATATCTGTAGAAAGTATTGTAGTAATTGAAAATAATAAATTGTATTTTTAAATTTCAATTTCTATAAATATTTAATGTTTTAAAAAAAGAATGATCTATTTGAGGTCAAGATCCATATTCTATTTTAAGTTACATATCATTTAAATATATTTTATATGATATTTGTAAACAGTATAAATACTGTTATAATATGTATTACATTTTAAAATATAGATATTATAAAAAATATATGTATATATATTCCTATATGTATCTTCAAATATATGTGATATTTGTAATAATTCATCAAGGTATATATATTTTTATATTTATATTATTATTATTTTTTAATTAAATTATAATTATTTCTCAATATATTATATTCATATAAAAAAATATTTTTATTATATTGGTTACATATATTAATTGTAATTTTTATAATGTTTTTGCAGTATCCAATAACAATACTTTATGATCCTACTCGCAAGAAAGAATTGCCATCTGGAGTTTCAGCACAATATAGACAAGAAAAAGAAACTTGTATGAAGCTTTTTGAGAAGTGGAGTGAACCAGAACAAGTTAATTTTGTTGAACAATTATTAACAAGAATGTGTCATTATCAGCATGGGCACATTAATGCATATTTGAAACCAATGTTGCAAAGAGATTTTATTTCTTTATTGCCAAGTG